GAGAAGCTAAGACTACAGGCATGCACCACCACACCCAGCAAAGTTTTGCATTTTTAGTAGAGATGGGGTTTTACCATGTTGGCCAGGCTGGTCTTGGACTCCTGACCTCAGGTGATCCACCCACCTTGGCCTCCAAAACTGTTGGGATTACAGGTGTGAGCCATGGTGCCCAGCCTCGTTTAAATCTTTGGATCCAAACAAGTACAAAGCCAACTCTGAACTTACCAGTCCAATTAGCTATTGCAGTCAGAGTTTATGATTCTTTGAATTAAGTTTCTGTAATCTCTAACCCAAACATGCCTGCTTTGTACACTTGCCCAAGGTCACACAGCAGCAGGCTGAGTCTCTCCTCTTTACCCTGTGAGGGTCACTGATGAGAATGCTCGTCTGTCCTCTATTGGAAGGGGACTCTTAACTGTTGGTTAGCACTCTCCCTCCCAGCCTCCACTTCTGCCCATCTTGGCCACAGGGTCCTATATTCAGGGCCACACTCTCCTCTAATCCTCCCCAAATCATCATACTTTTCTTTAAAATGGTGTTCACTGGAAGGCCAGGCTCTAGACGCTAGAACCACAGAGATATACCTTTCCTGGGGTGTAGGAAATATTTTATCTCTAGATGGAGAACAGATAACTCTCCCCTCCCCTGCCTCCAATGTTAAAAAGCAAGGTTCTAATAAGATGCAGTTAAATTTTGAAATTCTGTTACACTAAATCCTTAATACTCATGAGCTACCCATAGACTTCACTATTGGTTTCCTGGCAGAAACCATTATTTACTTCAGGAATCTATATCATCAGAATGGCAGCCATTATTCCACTCTCAGAATAAAAGTAAAAGCAAAGTGCGAACATGGCACAGGATAATCAATTTAATCTGATTTATGCTTTATACTAGGTGGCAGGCAATTATTGTTTTGTAAAGTAAAATATATGGCTGTTGATTTATTTTATTATGTTATGGTAGTCTATATTTCTGCAACAGTTCACTTTAGCTGGGATATTACCTTCAATTTGGAATTTTAATTCCTGAAATGAATGAATTCAATGATCCTGTCTCCTCGGGTGTGTTTAGGATTGCACATTCCCTGGGGCATTGCTCTATTCCCTACACGAGCTTCTATGGGCTATTGGTAGGATTATGACTGTCCTACATCAGTCTGACTAGGCTAAACTACATTTCCCTGAATTTCGTTTCCTGAATGTTTCCTGAAAAAGAAACATGAGCCAAAGTAAATATTGTTCTGTGAGCTTGGTGGGGCAGAAGTGAAGCAGCTATTTTGTAGCTGGCACACACTGCTGCCCATCTGCTGCCTCACCTGGTGCATGGGCAGCAGCTGGGCCTGCAACGGTTCCACCTCCCTGGACCTTCCTCCAGCTTCCATGATTCCTGGGCCCAACTTCTTTGGAAGGACATTCAGCATGCTATGGTCAGAGGCACTGAGAGCTGACATGGGTTTCAGTGTGCCACTGTGTGTCCAGCTTACACCTGGGAAACCAGCTTGTTCTTGCTCTTCCCCTTTACATTTCTAGCCATCTTCCTTTCCCAATTTCCTGCCCTGCAGACTTCAGGCTCCAGCATCAGATGCAACAGAAGACATGTGGAGACAGCTTCACTAGCACCCGCTGTTGTGTAAAGTCAAATCCCTTTCGATTGATCCATTGATTGATCGATAGATAGATGGATTGCTCCATCTCTTAGTGGTTCTATCTTTCTGTTTCAAACCTAATCAAAACAATACCCCTGTCCCAACTACATAAGTCAATGTTTGTGTAAGATTGACTTCAAGCTTCCAGGATCAACACTTTTCCTTTTAAATGTATTTCTTGCTTTTATTCAGTGCTCAGTGGCCATCTCTTAGCCATAACATTAGCTTGTGGGTTGGCTTTTCACATGGGGTTAAGATTAAAGATCAAGATTTTATGACTTTTCCCCAAATCCTGATTCTGGACCTAAGATAACCTTAACATTAAGCATTTGGCATTGGACCAATGGAATGTGAATATTTACGTAATTTTGATTATTTACATTTTCATATGAAGATCTTTTCATTATCTTTTTTTTTTAGATTTAATAATGGTTACATTTATGCAATATCCTTTGGCATTAAGAATAATAACTAGAGGCTGAGTGCGGTGGCTCCCGCCTGTAATCCCAGCACTTTGGGAGGTCAAGGCAGGTGGATCACTTGAGGCCAGATGTTCGAGACCAGCCTGACCAACATGGAGAAACCTTGTGTCTACTAAAAATAAAAAATTTAGTCAGGCGTGGTGGTGCACACCTGTAATTCCAGCTGCTCAGGAGGCTGAGGCAGGAGAATTGCTTGAACCTAGGAGGTGGAGGTTGTAGTGAGCTGAGATTGTACCACTATAGCCTGGGAGACAAGAGCAAAACTCCGTCTCACAAAAAAAGGATAATAACTAGGGCAAAAGCCAAATGATCCAGTAAACTACATAAAACAAAATGATCATATTTCACACAGTGAACGTTTTTCAATTGTGTTTGAAGTAAGGATCATAGTGCAAATTCTTACATACTTTTTAAATCAGAGGTTGTTACAAATAATGGGGGACAACTTACCTCTTTGTGAACAAAGTAGCCTATGTTTTATCTGGTAGTTCGGTAGACTCATCTTGTTGCTAAATGTGTCTCATGTTGATGCCTACTTGTAGGAAAAAATAATCCTTGTTACAAACCGTTTACCTGAATTCCATGATTCCCTAGGGCAACATAAAAGCATGTTTTTAAATAAAGATAAACACATGGTTAGCCAAGGCTACAGAACTCTGGATCATTTTTCTGTCTTTCCAAATCTGAAATAATTTTAAGGCCATAAAAAATGTCAGAGCATGGTGTTAGAAAGAAGGCAATCCAAAAATAAAGTCACGAATTCCCACAAACTCTAGGCTATAGGTACGAAGTATGTGCTGTCATGGGGTGATAGAAACCTAGGAGTAGGAGGGACAGTGAATCCAACCTTTCTCAACTTTGCCGTCTCCCTGGATTAAGGCACTTGGCAGCCCTGAGGGAATTGGGAGTGATTGGAGGCATGTCCTTTGGAGCTAATGCATTTCTATACTTTGTTTATTGCAGGGCATTTGGTTGAATTAGTGCCACTTCCAGCCCTAAGGATCTCACAATCTAGTATGTTCCTATTTGTTCGTAAGCTTGGTCTTAGTTCTGCATTATCCCGTATGATTCCACTCAATATTTTCTCAGCAGTAAGCTTACTAGTTGAATTTCTTGGGAAGACACTCCCGCAGCAGGATCCTCAGCAGCTGCAGTGTGTCTCTGGGGCAGGCCTTGAGACTGCCTTAGGCTCTCTGCTGCTCTCTCCTGGCCACCACTGTCTCTACCGCCAAGGTGCTAATGCCGAATCCCGGTGGGATCTCTGGCCCAAGGAAACATCTGCACACAGGCCAGGGCTGGTGCTTAGCTTCACGTGTGCTGCAGACTTTCATCAGTAGGCTTGCTGGCTGTGTGATCTTATTAGCTGAGCTCCTTCATCTCTCTGCGCTTCATTTTTTAAGTCTGTAAAATGGAGATAACAACAGTACCTACCTCACGAGACGGTTAGGAAGATTAAATGTATTACCATTTCTGAGTCAATTAGGACAGTAACTTGCACATAATAAGTGTGATATGAGTGTTTGTTAAAACAGTTAAACAATCAAACAAACATAGAATTCGTGTGCTGGCTAGAGAAGGGCTGGTGAGGATGAGGGAGGGAGATCTAGGATCTATTAGAGATGTCTCCCAAGGACAAGGGAGAGGGGATGATATAAGAGTGTGGTGGTGTTCCTGATATAGACCCTAATGGGCTCAGCCCCAGATACAATTTTAAAGGCGATACACTAACTACAACTCTCCAACCCCTATTCTTCGTGCCTTTAAAAATGATCTGAAATGTATCCTCCTGGGGATAAAATTTATTCATTTTATATATAATATATATATATATCTACATATATGTGTGTGTATATATATAAATATATAAAATTATTTTTATTGCATGCTACTATTTCAAGCCAGATGCTAAGTGCTAGGGACACATGTAAGGAAGTTAAAATGGCCCCTGGCCAGATAAAGCTTAGATTGTAGTTGGTGAAACAAACATTACGGAGATAATTGTGCAGTTGCTTATTTAGTTACAACCATGAAGACTACTCTGAGGGGCAAAGACAATGTGTAACAGAGTCCTGCCCTAATTCTGTGGTGTCATTAAAGAGATGATATTTAAGCTTAAAGACGGAGCTGGTTAGGTCAAAGACTTGGGCTTGAGGAGGAGAAGGGCATTTCACACAGGAGCTGTGTGGGCAAAGACTCTGGAGCCATTTTGTACTATGAGAGATCCAAAAAAGAGAAAGAATTAAAAAGGAAGGGATGGTCAGTAGCATATATTTAATATTTAACCCGTTTCTCCCAAGGAGAGGCTGCACTGGTCCCCTACATTTTAGCATCATGTAATATCAGTATGGAATAGAGAGGTTTCTAATTCTGATTGGGGGAGGAGAAAACTTCATGGTGATAATTTTATTAGGGTTTGAAAGGATTGGTTGGGCTTCAGTGGACATAAACTAGAGGATAAGAAACTAGATTAAGTAAATTACTCTGAAATTGTAAAACTTTTGGCATTAGTGAGTTGGTAGAATTTGTTTTTCCCATAGGCCCCTTCTCCAGCTTGCTGAAAGCACGCCATGTAATCTGCAGCCAGAACCATTGACAGTATAGTTGTCCTGTTTATAGGTTTTTGATAAGCTGTTTTTATTTTGTAATAAATAAGAAACGATGCCATTGTCCTTAACAAAATAGCTGAGGTTTTACTTGAACAAAATCTGTTTGGAAATGTTAAGCTGGTTACACAGAACTAATATGCCTCAAGGTGGTCATTCTCTCTGGATTAAAGCTGTGGGACAATTGTGGCTCCTGTTACAGGGAAAATTACAATGGGCCATTATGAAAAGGGACAAAAATCTCTGTTCCCAGAGGGGGACTGACAAGCTGAAAGTCCCTCTCTACATGCCAACACAAAAGCCTGATTGCTTCAGATTGTTTGTTTATGTAAATCAAAAGGGTGCCTTTAACTCTGCAAGGGGGCTGGCAAGCAACAAAGAAGGTGATGATTGGCTGGACTCTTGCTCATGGCTCCTGACAAATATGACAAATCCTCCTGCTTTTTTGCTCTAAGCTCTGTCTGGATACCTTTAGGAAAAGAATCTTGTTATTACGTACCCAAGTGAATAATTTGTGCTCTTAGAGTAGCTGTTGGAACCAGAGGACTTGAAGGCAAGAGCAGGTATATTATCAGGGATCTACTCACTCAGTTTCCCTAAAGCTCTCTCTCTAGATCGGATTCATCTGCACATCATGACAGATGTTCCAACTACATTTACCCAGGCTGAGTGTAATGGGGATAAAGCACCTGAAAATGGTCAACAATCAATCACTAAAACCTGTGAAAAATTGACTGATGTGGACAGCCCCCTGCCACACTACAGGGTAGAACCCAGTCTCGAAGTTGCACCCACTGAAGGAAATCAGGAGGAAAGAGGAAAATTACAAGGGAACATACTGCTCAACTCATCCATGGAGGAGAAAATTCTGAAAGGTAAAGTTTTTCCCTTCTCCTTAATTTTCTTGTTTTGACTTATAAACTTACCCTGGATTTTTTTGTTTGATAAACTGTTACGGGAATGAGCTGGAGACCCCAAAAATGTAGCCCTTTATTCTACTGCGCATAGCATAAGGACTAAACCTCTGTCTCTGGTGAAATCCATGCTTGTCTGACAGCTCCATGACTCCAGATAACTTTCTGTCTCCCAAAGCCTGAGTTTTTTCACTAGAAGAAGGCAGAATAATGATAATAATAATACCTACACATACCAAGTAAGCACTGGCTAAATGTTGACTACTGTTATTTATCAGGATTATGGGTAGCCCCACTATTATTTGAACAAAGAGAATTCAACATTTTAAAATTTCCTTCTAAATATACCTGAAGTTGTCTGAATTTATGGTGCGATATTTTATATATATATCTTATATATATATTAAAGGAGAGATTATCAATCAATAAAGTGATCATTAAGCAAAAAATTGAATCAATAAAGAATGAATCTGAAGAGTCAAACGGTAATTTTTAGTGATCAGATTTAAAATTAAAGAAATCCACCTGGAGCTTAAATTGATAACTTCTTAACTGTTGAACAATATATATTTCAAATGTTAAAATATTGATTTTGTGGGTTTTTTCCAGAAAATCCAGAAAAGAAACTCTTTATTGTTCATAAGGCTATCACAGATCTTTCTCTCCAAGAAACAAGTGCCGATGAAATGACATTCAGAGAAGGTAACAAGAACTACAGTTTTGTACACAGAAATTGTTTGGCTGAATGTGGATGATAGATTTCCCATGAAATGTTGCATGAGTGTGGCATTGACAAAGCAATCCAGGCAATGACTTCAAATTTTCAAAGCTGCTGTAGGCAGATAAGAGAGTCTTAACTTATCTCTGGGTTCCACCTTATAAAACATTCCAGACTGTTCAAGGTTGAGGCTGCATGGATTGGCATAGCTAATTGGCATACCAGCGTGATATCTGTCTCTGAATGTTAGTCCACTAAGTCAACCTTCTTTTTGATTTGGTGTGTCCAAATCTGTGTGTGCACCTTGTGAAATGTAAATGTTTCAAAAATAGTTCTTTCCTAAAAGTCTACGATTAACATATAGTTTTTTTTGGAGATGGAGTTTCACTCTTGTTTCCCAGGCTGGGGTGCAATGGCGCTAACTCAGCTCACTGCAACCTCAGCCTCCCGGGTTCAAGCAATTCTCCTGCCTCAGCCTACTGAGTAACTGGGATTATAGGTGCCCACCACCATACTCAACTAACTTTTCTGTATTTTTATTAGGGATGGTGTTTCACCATATTGGCCAGGTTGGTCTCAAACTCCTGACCTCAGTTGATCCACCCTCCTCGGCCTCCCAAAGTGCTGTGATTACAGGCATGAGCCACCGTGCCCGGCCAACACACAGTTTAAAGTAATCTCATAAAGTGATTTACTTTATAGGCTTCTAAAGTAAGTACAAAATGGTTAACTGTTTCGTGTCAAAGAAAGACAGGGTGATAAAGTTAATTGTGTTCTTTAAGAAAGTGAAAGAATAAAAGGAATATTGAAGTGACTATATTAAATTTTAAATAAACTTAATAGACTAAGACACAAAATTCTTTAGATTTTTCTTCCAAGAAGACATCTATATTTAAACAGTTTCCAAATAGTGTGTAGGATAAAATCTATTAATTAATCATTTCTTTCCTCTCTTGCAGACATACACACTTATCTCAAAATTGAAGTCAGCTTGCTAAACCTAACCAATTTAGCTTTGCTAGGACTTTAACAGGCAAAATATTGGAGACTCTTGGCTGAAATACTAGAACGTTGCATAAAATAGTAGATTTCAAGGACAGGAATGTGATTGGCTGTTTCCTACATCTGCTCCCTTTGCTTGAACACCTCTCATACCGTGTCTGCTTATGAATGTATCAACACTTAAGGTAATATGTAGCAAGCAGTAGCCAGTGTCAAGCTGTTACATTACCAGAGATAAGTTGTAAGACTTAAGACTCCACGTTATGAACTAAATAACCTCTTTGCCCTAATTTTTCTGCTTCCAATATAACAAGCTCTCAGCAGCAAGATCTCAACCTTCTATTACGTAGAGACCCTTTTAAATGTTTGATCAGGATTCCACTGTGGATAACAGTATTCAAGGATCTTTTATTTTCATCAGATGGAGAGTGAAAGCAGTCTGTAGTTTTTAGCTAGATGGTCTCACTAGTTAAGTTTTCCCTCAATGAATTCTTTGCTGTTTGATGGAGTATGCTTTTCCTCTATAACAGAAACACAGATTTTGGTGTCTTTTATTTTCACAGTGGCAAACAGCTATAAAATCTTCAAAAAGAATGTTACTGGATTAAAACATATAAAGATGCTAAAAATATTGAGGAAAAACTATAATTTAAATTCAAAGAGTAATTTTATATGTGACAATCTCATGCCTGAGTCATGAATATAAACAAAATACCACGTTGGTTCTTGTGGAAAACAAAATAAAACAAAACAAAGCATAAGATTATAGCAAACATTCTAATGTGTATTTGTGGATAATGGTAGCAACATTGAGGGGACATAGTGACCTGATAGCAGCTGTGTATAAAAAAATTAGGGCGTCCACCCATCTTTACTTCTAGCTCTGTAAATTTGCAATCTATTCCCTAGAGTGAGAAAAGAACAACAAATAAAAAGAGAACGAAACACCTTGGATGAAAATGGACTTGTGAGCATCTCTCAGAGAGGGTAGAATATTGTGGAGGAAAAAGACAAAAAGGAACATTGCCTCTCTCCTTGTAGACTCTCATGGTGTCAAAAGAAAATGCTGAACTCAGGCCTGAAAAGGGGTGTAACCCAGACAGATTTCTGAGTCGTGTATACCACAGACGGAAACTTCCCACAGAAGTCTTGCAGGGATGAAGGCTCAGAGAACAGCCTCAGCTTCCTTACAATTAATCATGTTCAATAAATATCGTTGAGGATATGCTGGTACGATCTAGCTGTATGAAAAGTGACCAGACACGGACAGTTATCATTTCAGTTTTGGAAATGATGATTTTTTTCTTCCTGAAATATTTTTTCTAATTTTCTTTGAGGGGTGTGTGTGTGTGTGCATGTGCGAGAGAGAGATGTCCAAATGTTTCATTTTACATGTGAACATATCCAGCTGCGTCACACTAGATGAGAATGTTTTAAAGTATCTCAGGGAATATCAGTCTCACTAAATATAGTAGTCCACAACAGAGTTCCATAGACAAATGAAGTTACGTTGCTGACTTTCTTACAGATTCATAATACTCATTTGCATTTCAAAGGCGTGTAAGAATTCTGAAGATGCTTATTTAACTGTATTTAATCTAGTATTTTCAAAATTAATTTGGCTGTGTAGTCTGTTTGTGCAAAACATATTGGTAACCCACAGAATCACAACCCATAAAACACGTGTTGGGAAATCATTATTAAAAAAAATTATTTGGAGAATAGCGGAGTAATGACTGGGTATTTTGGAACCTCTGCATATCTCATCTACCAATTGATTTTGCTACAGGGTATCAGTGGGAGAGGATTCCTCTGAGTGGCAGTAACCAGGAAATAAGAAGACAGAAGGAAAGGATTGCTGAACAACCTCTCAAAAAGGAACAAGATGAGGACAGGAAGAACAAAGCTCATCAAGCAGCTGAAATTGAATGGCTGGGATTTCGAAAACCTAGCCAAGCTGACATGTTACATTCTAAACATGATGAGGAGCAGAAGGCTTGGGATGAAGAAATTAATAATGATGATGATGATGATAATTATGATGATGATGAAGATGAAGTTCGAGTGATAGAATATAAGAAAAAACATGAAGAAGTTTCTCAATTTAAAGAGGAAGGTGATGCAAGTGAGGACTCCCCACTGAGCAGTGCCAGTTCCCAAGCTGTGACCCCTGATGAGCAGCCAACCTTAGGAAAGAAGAGCGATATCTCCAGAAATGCTTATTCCAGATACAATACGATATCCTATCGGAAAATCAGAAAGGGAAATACCAAGCAAAGAATTGATGAATTCGAGTCTATGATGCATTTATAAACTAACTGGAACTGAGAAAATCTCACGCACACTAAAGGAAAACTAATTCTATTGTCCCAGTGTGCATATTTCTATGCCCTATTTGAGTTATCACCTGAAAAGAGGTGGAAGTTGACTTTCTTTTTCACTGTAGAATAATGTGGAAATAACCCTAGATAAAATTCAGTCTGATAACCTCAAATCAAAAAGCTTTAGATTCATTCTTGGGCATTTGTCTTTTAAAACGTCACTAATATAGCACTATGTGATAAGCACTAAGCAGTCAGTCCCCTGGGGGAATATGGCATAATTTGGCTATAAATGTAGCAATGCTTGGAAAGGTAGTCATCAAATGAGACTATTTGAGGGGACTATTTGAAATGATTCTTATATTTCTTTCCGTATCTTTTTTCTTGTACATCGGAGTGATGGAAAGTCTGATATTAAAAGCTCTCGTACATTTAAACATGGTTTTACGGACTCTGGCAAATAAACCTTCCAAAATTCTTTGCCTTTTCTATTATCATCAAACAAGATTTCAAGTGACTTTCCTTGACATCTACAGAGAGAAAATTCTATCAGCCTCCTTCCTAGGTGTTACCATTCACTGAATCTTCTCACAGAGGGGGATGAGCAATTGTCAGTCAGGAGAATTCTGTTTGCTAAATGTTGCCTTTATGCTTTCAAACTGAATTAAACCCATTGTGAGGTTAACATGGGAGGGGCTAGAAGATTGGTGGGCAGCAGACTAAAGAGTTATGTTGGATAGTTTTATTTCAGTAGCTGAAAATAAAATCCTGTCTAGCACAGTTAAAGTCATTAAAAATAAAAATGACAGCTTTAGCACAATTTTAAGAAAATGCCCCTCTCTATTACCACATTTTCTCTTATTAACAGTATCTCAGAATAATTTTCTTTCCTTAGAAACCTGAGACAACGCTAGTCATAACTGTACTAGTTACTATGAAAATGGAAATAATTATCTTAGAATATTTTCAAAGTAGAGCGTGAGCATGTATTTTTAGTGAGAGAGCTCTGATAGTTGTTGGGAATATATAATTTACTGGACCTCAGCCCAAATCAAGATGCTTAAAATTGTACTTGTGGAGCTTCACTCAAACCAATGTGTCAAATAACGTATTGAATATTTATGAAAAGAGAGACTATATTTATATTCTTAGATAGTTGCTTCCACAATTTTTCACTGCATGCTTCCATATATATTACCCTGAACTTTCTATCACCACAGATAAAGATTTTTATTTTGCTCTGCAAATAAAAAGACAATTCCTTATTGTCTGAATGTAATACAGTCTTCATTGTACTATTCAACCCTTTGTTTATTTCTTTTTCATTTTGTGAAAAACTCTGGGTTAGTCCTCTTAGATGACTGCTTATTTATGTGTAACATAAATCCCACATGTTCTAATGACAACTTCTTTAATTCTTCTGGTTACATAATATATTTCCACAATATCACATACTATTATTTAGTTGTTTACAAAACTCAAATTTGAATTCAGGATTGCAGTGCTCCTTTTATTCTTTGCAACAGATACCATATAAAAGTTATTTTACCCTCATTCTATACAACCTATAGATTTCATTTGTTACAATGTCAGTTTCCAGAATGCAGTGAGGGAAATCAGGTTTTTATTGATAAAGTTAGGGAGAAGATGAGGCAATAGGACAATTTCCAGTTTAATTTACATCCTCTAATTTTTCTGCCTGGACAACCTGTTTTCTTTTCTGGGTTACTGACAACCCCTACAATTTTCCACTTAACTTCAAAACACAGTATTGTGTTATCTAGCACAAAACAGGACCATGTTCCTAACCTACCATCAAGGCCCTGTATTTTGAGTTATTCCAACAGAGATGATGGATTCCTGTAGGACTAGAGATGGGAGAGCTATGGCTATGTGGCATGGCAAAGCAAGTAGCTCTAATGGGACTCCGGTACATGCTAACACGGTCCTCTTAGCTTTGTGCTCTTACCAGACAATGAATGACCTATGAAAGATTTAGTCAACAGAAAATATTTTAGAGTATGTTTAGTTAGCAAATGCTTCATGTTGATGGACGATGCAGTGTTTCTGCAAAATAGCCCTGACACTATTCTTTGGCATTGGTGTCCATGGGCCTATACGTCTTACATGAACGCCACAGAGTTAAGTGATCTCAGGTAACATAATGATGACGGTTGGCTATTTGAGTCTTTGTAACCTAGGAAAGACAAGGGTCTGATTCAGATTGCATGGGGGATATTTAACACGTTTGAAACACAGTTGGAACACGATTAAGAACACAACCTGGTAGCTACACATGAGGGTTTACTGGAGCTTTTGTGATTCAAAGTTCAGGGGTCGTAAGGACTCTGGTACCAGGGAAGAGGGAGAATTAATTTATTGTGCAAATGCTGGTATTTCTTATATGACTTTTTGTTTTCCTTTGTTGCTATATGAACAGAAACTAATAATAGTTCTATTTCTCTTCCAATATAAAATCTATCTTTTATATAATGCTACGTTTGAAGTCACAGAATTTTCCAGTATCTCTTTCTCTCCCTTTACTTACCTATCTACAATTTAAATAAAGAACTGCTGTGTCTGACTTACTCTCAATAAAAGTTTGTGTCTTTATTTCTGATTTCTAGACTTTATTTTGTTTAGCTGCCTTTTAAAGTTTAGGAAGAATTCTTGTATATCAGCAGCTACTAAGACAATTAATAAATGCCTCTTCAGAAATCAAGGGAATACTTTAATTCTTTTGCATTATTTATTTCAAAAAGGTCTTAAAATGATTGTATATAAAATCGTAAAAAAGATTTCTGGTAGGTAGATATGTAATATACATGAAACATTTCTATTATTTTTTAAGGAACTGAGATACTGTTTAAGCTACATCTTAACACGAACAACTTGAAAAAAATCTCTGTAATCATCAAAGTAATACATTTAAATTATGCTGACATCTTTATAGTAATTGTTTCTGCATATTTACATGGAATAGTACTTTTGGCACATTTTCAAATGGACAATCGACATTTAAGTTTTTCAGTGTGATGGGGAAACTTTTAAATAAGTGGCAATAGAAAATTATGGAGAAGGATGAAGCATCAGAGTATAAAAAAGAAGAAATATGTTTGACAATATGAGAAAGGCAACCACTTCTCTTAAAACTTGAACTTTCATCACTCTAAAAAAATATGAGGATTGTAAAATGCAATGTCAAAAGTTATATTTGCCAATACTGAAATATCGGACATAAACATAACACAATGAATGGGTTACTGATAACTCCTACAATATTCTCCTTAGCTTCAAAACACAGTATTGTTTAAAGACAATGAAAATGTGTATATAGTTCATGGAGATCATAAAATAACCGAGCCAGGCCATCAACACAAACACAATGACATGGGTAGTAATAAGCAGCTGAACTCACTCAAAACGTGGCAAACTACAAAATCAAATGATGATTTCTAGTAGCTAACTGCCAGCACAGGAGAATTTTGGAAATGAATTTAGAAAGTAATTTGGATTTTTATCTAGAAATATAAAGTTACATACTTGATTCCTTCTTTATAATAACTTCAGTTGATCAGATGCAGAAAAAAAGTACTTAAAAATGTTTAATTCCAACATCCTTTATACTCCAAGCTTCTATTTTTATTCTCCCTTTAGCAAATGTTTTCAGGCGATCCTTTAAAAAATTCACTTACTTAATCTTTGGCTTATCTTACTGTAGCTAATACTTATAAAACTAGCAAATTTGGGGTACTTGTTCAAGGGAGAAGACGTATGTGTAATCTTAAACTGACTGGTATGGTAACAAGCACCCTGATAATTGAGAATTTGATTACTCCTTCAAGCTGGAAAATGGTATCCACAGTGAAAGTTCATTTGAGATACTTTTGTGCAGCAGGCCAGATGCAGACAAAGCTATACACCTGAAAGACTTTAAAATATCCCAAAACATTTAATTTTCTTTATGTTGTGAGTAGAAACTCTTGATATTTCTTTCTTCCAGTTCAAAGTATCAAAAAATATATAGACACATATATATACATATACAAACATACAGAATATTCACAAAAACTGATGTTTTAGAATGGTCAGTTAAAAATCTATTCATGCTATCAAAAATTTCAATCTAGCATCTAATATAAAGGCTTTATTATATAGATACTTATGACCAATATCCTTAAACTAGTAAATATCTGTCAATCAATAACAAAAAATAGAAAGCTTTTGTTTCCAAAGAAATTATTTATTACTTATTTGATGGCAATTCATTATTAGAAACTCAGCATATTAGAAGTTACCATATTTGCTAGAAAATGAGAATTTCCCCTTGTGTTTTGTTTGTGTTTTTACAAAGCAAAGATCCACATAAACTTGCAGAGGGACCTTAATTGAAATGATTGTTCCATTAGGTTGAAAACAGAGGCATTAAATCTGCTTATTGTGATGTTATTTGTTTCTTTCTTTTAGACACAGACACCGCCAACACCTGAAATAACAGTCCATTAAGCCTCATCAGGGATATACAATACTTTATATGGCTTATTCAAAACTGTCCATAGAATGGCCATTTGTCAAAAAATAAATATTTGTACAATAGGTCTGGTTAATGTTTCTTTTCTCTTTGTAAGGCATTTTGTCTTGTAGCAACTATTGAGTAACCCATGCAAAAGTTGTTGCAAAAGCACATTAGTGACAATCTACACAATGAGTAGAAATAAAATATCATGGCTTGCGTTTTAAAGGACTCCAACTTTTTAACTTTTTATCTCTGTTAATGATCTGCCAGCTTTGTTTAAAGGTTGGAGGAATCAAGAGTTGGTAATATTGACACAGGAGTCATTAAAAATTTATTTTAGGCAGTTAGAAAGGGTAAAATAGTTCTTAGTGGTTTTTTCTTTAATAAAAAGCAGCCCCCAAAGCATTTCTTTTCTAACAGAAAGCAGCCTGAAAACTCAAGTTGCAACCATAGATACGCAAGCTAGAGGCTTGCATATGTAAAACTAACAGCTGTGCCTGGAAGCCAGGCACACTGAACATGAGAATACCGGTTCCCTTTTCCTTGTCAGCACATGTGAGGGTGTCATGGCATCATTGCGCCAGCCAGGTAAAGCCACTTGTGCAGGTGTTATGGTGACAGCCAGGTAGTAGCTTCATTTGCATAATAAAAGATTATGGAGCTCATTGGCCGATCTTGGCTGACCGCAACCTCCACCTGCCTGGTTCAAGTGATTCTCCTGTGTCAGCCTCCCAAGTAGCTGGGATTATAGGCACCCACCACCACGTTAGCTAGTTTTTGTATTTTTAGCAGAGACAGGGTTTCACCATGTTGGCCAGGCTGGTCTTGAACTTCTGACCTCGTAATCTGCCTGCCTTGGCCTCCTAAAGTGCTGAGATTATAGGCGTGAGCCACCATGACTGGCCGGTAAAATTTCTTTCTTGTATTCTGAATCTAGGAATTCAGTCAGAGATGTCAAAACGAAGAAAGATGGTACTGTCTGTCATGTTTCAATCTCCTTCTATTGCATGAATGTCCCCTAAAAATAATTATAAACCATTAATGAAATTAAGATTGGTTGGGAATATTGAGCTCCTACACACTGAAAATGGTATCTTTGCCCCTCTGCAGTCCCAAACTAATACTAGAAGCAAGGTGTTTTAATATTGAAGAGAATGTTTCCAAATAAGTGTGGTGAAGCTAATAATACATTGTGATCAGGGCACATGGTGGTTTGCTGTGAATGACAGCTGAGGGGATGTCAGCAAGCAGTATTGAGCAAATTGATGCTGGTGATAAAACACGGTTGTACCAACAACAGCTGTGTCAGCTTATAAGAGAGTAGGGCAGAAGTGCTGGGTAACTGTTGAAAAAGAGAAAGAGATTATGCAAACTGAAAGTCTCAGAAGCACTTAGATGGCTTGGTAAGTTGGTTAGTCCTGTTAAATATTAATAGGACCACCCTTGTATTCAAGGTAACAAGATGCATAGACTTTTTTTCTTTTTTTTTTTTTAAGAAAAGGCAAAGACCTAAGCTAATCCAGGAAAAAATCTGTAACTCCTATCATACAGCCCCCTATTGAATAATTCAGTGCTGATTAGGACCTGTCTCATCCAGAGGTTTATCATTAGAAGTACCAAAAGACCTAATAGCATTTATACCTTTATTACAGTCTCCTGAAAAAATTTAGAAGGCAATGCTTAAGAAAATGGTAGTAGATTTCATAATAAATCAATATACTCAAGGTTAGGCCTATATAGATTCCCAACTAGTGATCAGTTTCTTGCTTCTTAGAGTAACTAAGCAAATATATGATAAAAGCAATTTATAAAATTCTATTCAGGAACAAATTTGTGATGTTCGAAAACAATCCTTTGTTGTGTTGACAATGTAGATTTAAATATAGCTTTATATAGTAAGTATGTCAAGGTAAAGTCGGAAAGAATGTGAACTGAGAAGACTGCAGACAGTTCTGTTAGGGAAAGCAATCTAACTTCCTTTAGCTGATGTACCCAAAGGTAAGTGTGTTTAAAACATAATTCTTTTTTTTTTTTCAGAACAGAGTTGACTTCTTTGTGGAAACTATTTTTGGAAAAAGAAAGAGCCTATATATTAGGGGGGAAAAAACCCTCTCAACATGTTTTAATTACGTGAAGAGTTACTTGAGGCACCTAGTATATTCAGTTTGTCAGTAACTCAATTAGTCTTTTGGCAACTGACTTGTGTCCCCTCCACCCCCCTTTCCCCATATGGCTCTGTTTTGAAAAGAATTACAGTCATGCATCATTTAATGACACAAATACATTCTGAAAAATGTGTCATTAGGCAACTTCATCATTGTGTGAACATCAGAGTGCAGTTACACAAACTAGATGGTGTATGTAGCCTACCACACACCCAGGCTATGTGGAACCCCTGTTGCTCCTAGGCTACAGACTTGTACATGTTAGCTACTGTAGCACCATGGTATTTGTGTATCTAAACATATCTAAACATAGAAAAGGTACAGTAAAAATACCATATTATTAATATAATCTTTTGGGTCCAATGTCAAATATGTGGTTCATTGTTGACTAAAACATCATTATGTGGCACATAACTGTATCTCATGTTCTGGTCATTTTCTTATTCATCTGCAATTTTCCATTATTTGAATAAAACATCTTAAATATGTTACAAATATGCAGAAATAGTTCTTCTTCCCATTCTTAGTTGTAGCTTTGTTTTTATGTAACTCGTTCAGAGTTAAAATTAAATGCTAAACCCAAAGTCAGAATGAAAGATACCTAGTTTCACCATCATCTCAACTGAACAAAGGTTTATATATTTTTTTAACATATTAACAAGAATATAGTATAATTGTCCTCCAGAGACCTCATCTCAGCAAAGAAGTTTGTGTGTCTCTTTCTAAGGAATTCTGTGGAGCAGATTTGTTTAGGCCAGTGGCCCGAGGCAGTAGAAAGAGCCCTGCCTCTGGAAACCAGAATTTTAATCTTGATTGGATTTTTAGGTTTTTAGGTAATTTGTCCTCTCAGCATCAGTTTTCTTATCAAAAAGGATGTCCTGATTTGTAAGACTTCTTCTGGTATGCCAAAGTATTGGTATACTTAAGATTAGAGGTTTTACTTGGATCAAATCAGTATTTAACTTTTCCCAAATTTGTCAGTGTTTTCACTGGGTCCACATTGAGGGATTTTCTCTTTTTTCCTTCATAGAGATACAAGATCCTCTTCCTTCTTTGGCTAAGTTCTGGACAATTTTCTTAACTTTCTTCCTAAGACTTGTTTACCTCATTCCTTTCCTTTTTCATGATGTTTGCTTCACTTTATTTTCCCTTTGAAATATTTCAGAGCCCATTTTTATCATATTTTATCCCTGTGAATGCTACTATGCCTAAAGTAGTATTTTATTATTTTACATAAAAGAAATTTTCGGCAGCTCTATTTCTGCTTTACTCATTTCGCTCCTCTTACTTGGCCCTGCACTAGAGCGCATTCAATGCTTAAATGCATTTTTGATTACCACAGTGTGTTATAATCCAGCCCCTTTTTTATTGCCTTAAAAAAAATCCACATGAATCCAGGAAGTTATTGGTATCGCGAATCTTGAAAGTTGTAGTTTTAAAAGCACAAAATGAGCGGCAGCAATGTTTATACCTAGAATTAAACAAGTATTTGAAGGCCTCTTCTTCCTCACTTAGAATTTTTTCCACTGACTCGGACTGGGAAAAACCATTATGTAATTTAGATCAAAATGCTACCATCAGGTAAGGTTACCAGCAGTAAACCAATACTATTTCAAACTGTTAGGAAAGGATGCATGCAGTCTGGAGGGATTTCACAAATGTGATAGCTGTGGGCATCTGAGGTCTTCTAGCCATAAAAACTCAAGAAGTTTTTGTTTGATGAAAATATTCCCAAATAAAAAACTACATTAAGTTCTCATTGATCATCCCTACTTGTGGACCAGAAGAGCTGATTATTATCAAACACAGTCATTGGAAATAACCTCATGCTTTCTCAAATCCTTCTGTCTTCATTTCTGGTTACCTGTTAGCTTTCACAGGGAAATTTGCAGGGTGAGTTCCAGCACAGGGCGGAAAGCAGGCAATTCAAAGGTCACTCACTTCTGAAGAAGGGCTTCAGTCCAATGTTGAACTGTTTTCCTGAGTTATCCTTTGGTATTCCAAATATTGTGATTTACAAAAAAATCTTCCATTTAAATGCTATTAAAATTGAAAATTTAAACTACTGCTGAGAAATATAGTTACCAAGTTCAGTGTTATTTTCACAGTATTTGATGGGTTTACTATATAAAAACATCAGTTCCACTTCAGGCTTCATAATATTTTTCAAATTTCCACTTTTGATATGGCTTCACTGGGTCACAGGCAGCTGCTTTCAGGATCTTTAGAGAAAAATTTCCTTCCAAGCATAATAATTGCTGATCGTTTTCAAAAACAATGTGATTCACCTGGAGAGAAAGAGGAGCTGGAATGAGTCATGGGCTGAATTTGATAACTGTGATATAAAGAAATGAAAATCAATAAAAAAAAATTAATAGGCAGTTATATTTTTTATTTTTAAATAATTATTCTGAACTAAATTATTAACATAAACACAGACTTTGAAAAGTATTCAGTTTGTCTCTGTTTCAGACTAAGTAATCATCCTCCTCTAAGCTACAAGACTTTTAAGTTCTCAGGAGGCAAAAGACACATTTTTTGATGGTATGGCTGAGAACTATGCTCTTTAAAGAGAAAACATGACAGATGGCATTTATTGGACTTGATAGATGATAACTACTTCATTGATGGTAAAGAAAAAATACATACTGTAACATAAAGTTAATTAATTTTTAAAGTGGGTATCTTTGTGAAGTTGGATTACAAAATTCTGGCAGTGATATATTTTATTTATGAGTTCCTTACCATAATCTCTGACAATTCGTGATAACTGATGTCCAGAATCCAGATTAGGAAAAAGTCAATGGCATGAAAGAAAGTTCTATTATTGCTTAATATTTAGTGAATATCCTAGAAATGGTAATTTTCATAGAACTTACTAATGGCTTATATATTTTTTCATCTATAAATCTTCTCAATTACCTATGAGTATGAAAAAGATGACCTTAATTACACATGTTGTTTTGAAACTTTAAAAAGTTTTCAAACAGGAGTGACTTTCATAATAAATTATTTTAAACATTGCTTCTACAAAAATATTGTCACTCTTGCTGGATTTTGGAAATACGATGTTTTAAGTACTGCCAAGGATTTGTAAAGGAGTCTCATTTTATACTTCTCTTGTTGTTTAAGACTTACATGTATTGGGGGACCTAGGAGGCATAGCATTGAAAACTACTGAAAAACTGAAAAAAGAAGAAAGCTGATCACCAAGCTACTCATCTCCAGGACATTTGGTAGCATCAAAAGGGAAACCCAAGGCAGAAGGCAGCTGTGCAAAATGTCACAAAGTCATAGGTACAAACAAGGTAGAGAACAGGCTTTCTAATTTTGGTATCTTAATTAAGTTACCTTCTTTACCAAATCAGCTTATTGCTTAAGAGAAACTGCTAAGCTTGAAATCTTTCCCAAGATTCAATTCTGGAGATGAAGAATGTGTTTTAGTTCTCATTCTCATTCATGTTCTCTGTCTCTCACTCTCTCCTCGCCCCACCCCCTGCTTTCTCCTTCTCTCCCTCTTGACTTTGGCACAGGGAGAAGGTAAGATGTAAGTTATTCACTACACTACATGTTTATGGGTTTCCTAACACTATGCAAAATAAAATTAGCAGCATATATGCTAATAATTTCTAACCTTTCAGAATAACTCAATAATAACCATTATCACTAAAGAGAAAAGAATAGTCCATAAGCAACTGAAATATAACAGAGAAGATCTAATGGGAGAAAGGCTAGATAATGCATTACTCAGGCTCCAGTTTTGACTCTGAGCAGGAAGAAAAAAGTTGAGAAGAGAATAGTCATTGGCTATGTTGTTAAAAGGAACGAGGCACCTCAAGGAAGAAAAGGTGCTTACTTTGGGGATAGCTCTGGGCAAACTGAGAGTCTCCAAATACCCAAATATCCACTGTAGACAGTAGATTTGGTGGCCACCTGCTAGAGAGATGGTAGAAAATCTAAGAAGGCAGTTCTGAGGGTATTCTCGCCAACTCCAAGCTCCTACGCCAAAGCTTATGACTCTGAATTCTGTTAAAAGTAATTGGGAAAGATGGAGAGGACTTTGAGAATGAATGTAGTAGACCAGCAATGTTCTGGTAAATAGAACAACTGGACCTTGTGAAAAATATCCAATCCAGTAACATCTTCCGATTTCTGTGTTAGAAATCCTCCCAATATGGCCAGTTTCAAGCTACCGATGTGGTATCGTTGAATGCAAAGCTGGCAAGGGTGCACACAGTGGCCCTGGTGAGCTGGTGAGAGCTGTCTCCAGCACAGCCTTAGGAGCCTAGGTCTCTGGGCCCTGTAGGGGATGAGGAAAAGTCTTCTCGTATGGAAAGGGGACAGAATGAGAAATTAGATTCATTCTAAAGTGCAGGACTTCTAGGAGGCATGTGGCTTCTTTTGTAGCCCACAGCCTCTCCATATAAGCATTTCTGATAAGCAGTGGGGACCAATTCTAGCCTTTAAGTCTACTTTTGGTGGTGTTGATTGACTGAAGCAAACGATAGCAATGTAACTACAAGAACTTGGTGACTTCTATTTAAAATAACTAATTTGAAATAAATTTTGAAAAAAAAAAAAAAGGACTTGTCAAGTCCTTACTTACAAGAGATACCCATGTATCTCTCTGAGTGAAGTTTTATGTAATTAATCCCGTTGTCACAAATACACTTAAAACTTCCAACTGAGGAAGCTGACAATGAGAATTTTGTGTCCTATTTGATCAAAAGTCAAATTTCTGGTAAAGAAGAGGTACGAATCTTTTGCTTACCAGCTCTGGATGAAAGACTGGTGTTGATTTATGCAGCCATTTTAGCCCTTTGTTTCTGTTATCACAAGGGTGCAGCCCTATGGCTCCTTTATCAGGGATGGGGGCTATACACCATTCTCCAGATTTAATAAGTCTTAACCAGGTGTAATTAAATTGTTGAAGCTGTGGAGGAATGAATAAAGAGATCACTTCAGGCAGCAAACACAGTCAGGGGCTTTGTCAAAACATTTTTGTTAGCAATAGTTAAGACTATTAGAACTATGATCTGACATTTTATGTTCAAGTCCTGGTACTATCATTTGTAATTCTGATAATACAGGCATATTATTTACTGTGTCTAATCTTATTTTTCTAATTTTTAAGTTGGATAGCAATTGTATCTATCTCAGAGGGTTGGGGTAATGACTATCAAGTGTTTAGCACACAGTAAGCCTTCAATAAGTGTTAGTTACAATAATAAAAATTATTTAGTGCAGTTAGTTCTATCTGCCTATGGATGTCATTTCAGTGTTCTGAATCCCAGACAAATCTGGTGCTTCAAGAATTGGAACATTCAGGCTACCACATGATTAAGATTCTAAGCCACAGGTGGCTACAGGGAGATACAAGTCACAGTCCTAAATTTCTTGGATGAAGATTTTTATGCCTCCTTGTGTAGAACTATCATAAAGGCTTTGCCCAATTGTAGGAAAGGTTAAAGTCTTTCTTTGCTAGCAGCATGAGGAATCATAGGTTGTTGCCAAGTTGGCATCCCCCAGTTCATAGAAACTGCTCTTGGAGAAGTTGCCAGTGTCTAAAATAAATACCAATTCAGGTAATGAGACCATGTTTTTAAACCTTAAAAATTTTTCTTCAGTTGTTTACAACCTAGTATGATCTGCCTGGTCAATTTACTCTAATGCTCTGTGTCTGTGGGAAATTTGTTGTTTTGTATTAATAAAAACATATTTGAAAAAATAGGCTTCTGGTAAAATCTATCTAAAGCCTTTACCTGATGAATCATTTGTCTTGTAACTGAAGTTTAACTTTGATTATTGGTTTAGATCAAAGTCACTATGTTGGACCTTGCCACTCGAAGGGTAGTCCTTGGGGCACCATCTGCATCACCTGAGAGCTAGTTAGAAGTGCTGAGTCTTCGCCGCATCATGGACCTACTGATTCAGAATCTGCAGTGTCACAATGTCCCCAGGTGATTTTTGTGAACATTAACATGTAGGAAGCACGGAAGCATGGCATAATATAAGGAAGTTATGTGCCACTAAGAGAAGCTAGATATTGCCTTGAAAAAATACATCTCAACGGTTTTAAGGTTAATAACTAAGGAGACTTTTTAGGTGAGGTAAGTGATAGAGCTTGCTGATTCAATCTAAGGGTCTTATTCCATTTGAGCCTTTTTGGATGAATGTTGTAGTCACTGTCTTGGTATTAAGCCTCATTAATTCTGTCAAAAATGATCTAACTTCCTCCACTTTTTTTTTTTTTTTTTTTTTTTTTTTTTTTTTTTTTTTACATTTTATTACCTAAGCAAACCACGAGAGGCAGAAGCTAAAAATGAGCAACAAGACCAAAAGGGAGCTGGGGCTTTGTGGAGGGTGAAGGCTGCATCATTTATGTATTTGCCTCCCAGCATCCAACTGAGAAAGACTCAATGGTCATCAAGAATAGAACTTGGGTTTTCAGATAAAATACTGGTTACTCTAGCACAAAAAGTCCCTGCAATTAGGATTCCAAGAAAAAAAAAAAAAACAAACCCCGCATTATTTAATACTTTCATATAATGTGAATGAATTGTGATTTTGTTTTATAATTTATGACTTTATTTCCTCTTTATTAGTAAGTGAAATTTATTTCTTTCAATGGGTTTTAACACTTTTCCACTTTCTTTTGACTCCTCTCTTTCCTAATTAAGGAAGAGTAGACTTGGCTTCCGGTTTACAATTCATAGCTAAATACAGCAACAGAGATACTTTTTCTTCTAGCAGCAGCTTTGCGTTAAGAGGTAGAGATGGGATGCACTAATAAATATAAACAGTATCTCAAAGTCAAAGGAAAGGATGTAAGACTTGACAAGCCTAGTTATTACTGCAAAATAATTTCCCTACCAAAGAACAATCTGCAATTTTGGGGAACTGAATTCTACTCATGAATCCATCTTCCTCTCAGTCCTGTTTGCCACTCAAACCAGTCACTGTTTCCACAAACACAGAACTGTTAGGGAACGTATGTTCAAGAGGGAAGTGTAATCACTCAGGGCTCACCTCCAGCACTGTGGAAGGAGTCTCTATTCCCTGCTTCCTGGTCCTACTCCCCCTACTAACCATTTTGCTCTGAGTTGTGGAGTTTTCCTAGAGGAGTTTCTGCCGTGGATCATGGATTTGGTTGTTTCCATTACTCCCTTAAAATGCAGGAGAATGAGGGGAAAACGGAACGGAATCAGAGAATAAGACTGCTTCCTTGGAATGATTATTTAGAAATATGTTCTCTCTTTAGTTCGTTATCTATGTCATGCATTTTTTACATTTTTATCTTTGCCATTACTACAGAAAACATTTACAGAGCACTAAACATTAGGTATTGTCCTACGTGCTTCATATGACTTATCTACCTCCAGCCTCACACCAGTTCTAGAAGCAGCCATGATGATCACTATCATTTACCCAAAGGTTAAAGAATCTGCAGAAGTTAACACGCTTTTGCAAGTGATAGTGCCACTATCCATTCTGGATCCAGTGAGTTGGCTTCAAGGTCCACACCTTTATTCCCTTAGTCTTTGTACTAATGGACTCTCTTATTACAAGAAATTTAGAAAATTATTTTTCTATTGGGCAAAGATGAATTTCTCAACTGAGCGATGAATGTGTCATCCCCTGCACCTATCAGCTACCACGAGAGAGAAAACCACAGTTTAGCCTACCTCGTTGCTCCCATCGCAGTCTTCCAGAATGACTGTAGTATTTTCAATGGAAATGCATTTATCCAAGGCCACATTAATAAGCTAGGAAGCATAATATAAAACATGAATTTAAAAAACACATTTTAAAGTAGAACAAGACATTCAGACACATTTAGAAAATACAGAATAGAAAACCATAATAAGGTTAAAAGATAGTTAACAGCTTAGCATTACTTAGCACTATCCAGTTTTATTGGTTGCTGTCTCTAACAGAGACATAATGTAATCTTGTAATAGTACAGCTTCAATCTATCAACTTAGGCCTGTGATCAGCCAGAGAGCCAACGGGTAGAAGCTTTTAATTAACCCTTGCCTAGCATGCTAAATAAAAAATGAGCAAAGGTGGCATGAAAAGAGTTATTTTCTTGTCTTAAGTTTATCTAATGCGTATACTAAAAGTCAATGCACACGCAAGAGTTATGAGCTATGTTCCCTGACTGACCCCTTCAAGCTTTTTGGCTGCTTAAGCACTGAATCATAGATAAATCGAGTCCTTCAAAGAACAGCAGATTCCAGCTGATTCCCTGTCAGAATCTTCTAAATGACTCAAGTGAGCTACAATTCATTATAGGAAAGTCACGAAAGCTAATACAGAGCCAAGCATAAAGGCACTTTCTGGCAGGCCCCCAGGTTTTTAATGCATTTACAAGGTCAAATATGGAGGTAGCTTTCTATAAGTCACCATTTAATGCAGAAGAATATTGATCTCCTTTCCCCCTTTGACATCCTGGGCAGGGCTAATGAGATGATGGGTTAACAGTGGAATTTAGAATTTTCAGACTTCTAGAAGAGTTGTGCAGAGCAGAATCTATATGATATGTCCAGGGAACACCTCTGGAGCTGGGAGGAGCTGAAGTCTTTGTTGCCAGGGGCACTTTTTGTGCCCTTCCTGTTCTACAATGCCTAACAAAGAGGTCTAACTCAGGGTGCTGCACTGATGCAGGCTGGGTGCTCACAGAGTTGCCACACTTCATAAACGGGGGCTCAGTAGTTTGGTCCTCACTTTTACATGCTTAGTTTAGTGGGCAAGAAAGTAAGGGACATCTTCAGGGATCAGAATATGCAGAAAAAATTAAAGGCTGGAGGGAAACTTGCAATGGTTGGCAAGAAAGACTTGTTCCCTCATATGGATGGATGAAAAACAGAGGCATGGATAAGCCAAAAACCTGGAATTCTGGTCTTTCACATAGCAGTGGAAAAACAGTTAGACCTTCAATCGAATGCTGTACTAGGATAAATAATTTGCCCATTATCACAGGGTGACAACAGGGAAGCTGGGTTCTTCTTGAGAATCTTCATTTGAGTTTGAGATGAACATTTACACTCCCTGCCTTGGATGGGAACCATCACAGACCTCCAAGACATAGAAACAAACATTAAAAACAGTACCAGGTTGATAACTACTTCTAAGGTGCCTGGTATAGAAAGATACAAAGCAATAATGGAAGGATGAAATCTCTATCAAAAATCCTCAGAGAAAGTTATATTCGCAATTGAAAATGACAAATACTAGAGGAGACAGCTCACTGTTAGCAAATGTGGGCACAGAAGGGTTCAATAGCCCCTAGACCCACCCCCCAAACTTCAGAGAGGAAGGTGAATAGAAAGACATGAAGGTAGAATAATCTCAGGGCTTAAAAGAAAAAAAGCATGCTGCAATTGCTCTGTCAACTTTAGCAGAGATAAATATTATATAAGCTCCTGAATTTGTGGATCATGCAGACATATTCTATCTCCAAACAAATTTGGAAAATTCTGGTTTCCACAGAGCTGAACAGGTGGTTCCACTCCAGAACTTCTCAAAATCTTCAAGCTGTTAGTGTTCCACTTGCTGCTCAGAATGTTGCAGGAATATTTCTCTAATGTACTTGACCATGGAACCCTGAGGCAGCATAGGTAACATAGGTCAGCGCAGTGTTTGGGAACCCCTGTTTAATGGATATCTTTGTGTTTATTTTGTCTAATCCCTCCAAGAACTGAAAGGCATTGGAAGGAAAGATAAAACTTTTCTGTCCCTCACATGCCCCTCTCTTGCTTGACCTGAAGATATATATATATATATATATATATATATATATATATATATATATTAGCTTCTTCTTAGAATTTACTGAGGAGACTATTTAATTATGGGTTTTACCATTAAAGGTACTTTAACACCAGATGAATACTTTTCTTCACATAGACATCTCTGAAGTGCTGTAGAATTGTTATTATTTCATTATTAATCATTTTTAGAATTTTTCATTTTTATTTAAAAATAATTGATCCATGTTTTTACTGTAAACCACTTTAATCTTTAAAAAAAATCAGGAAGTGTATGAGTTTTTTTAAAGATTGAAGTGGTTTACAAAGTTGTCCATGTTGTATTATTTCATTTTCCAATTTAGGAAGTAGACATTCCCCACAGTTTATGATAGAATTGTTAAACATCAGGCTATTTGCAAGCAGCTTAATCCAGTGCAAAAATACATTACTGGTGAGATTCTTTTATTAGCTTCAAATATTGTTGGTTCAATAAGAAAATATTTGTCCTTATTACAAAAAACAGAAAACTTTCACTGGATTTAAATTTCTACTTGTGGAGGTTGAAAAAAGGGAAATGAAGCCATAGACTGCTCACAACCAGTTTAATTCAGTGTAAAAAAACATTATTGGTGAGATTATTAGCTCCAAATATTGTTAGTTCAATAACAAAATATTTGTTCTTATTACAAAACATACAAAACTCACTGAAGTCCTATGTGTACAGGTTGAAAGAAGGGAAACGAAACAAGTAACCAAAAGATGTTGTGGGGTTTATTTTCTGGGAACTTTCCAATATTGTCTATTTAAAATAATATCCTGCTTAATTTGTTCTAAATTACCTGGAGAAAGGCCCTAATTTTTAAAAAAGGTAATAACACTCCCTGCTGGTTGCTTCAGAAGGAAGCAAACTACACCTTCACTGAAATTTGTTTAAGGAAGGCAGCAAAGAAAAATAGAAGGAATTTGTTAAAATCATTTTTTAAAAATACATGCTGCATTTTGATATATTATAGTGGAGGCATCAGCAGAAGGCTGTTTCATTTGGAGAGATCTTCAGAAATTTTGTAGAAACTCACACAAGTTAGTCACAGTGGAGCCAAAAGCTAGTTTTCTAGTGCCCTCTGGTGGTTAAAGTTTAGTAATACTCTTACTGAAATTCAATGTTGAACTAGGAAAAATTACTATTATGGAAATTCCTCTTTTTTTTCTGCTTAGGGGTTGAAATTAAAAATTGTAAATTCATTTTACAGTTATATTTGACATGTTGTTATTTGACTAGTATATATAAATCCGAAGTGTCTGATAAGTTACCAGGTTGAGCCACCTAAAGTAGCTGCTCTTCCATTTGAAGAGCAATTTTTTAATACAGTACGTTACCTAAAAGCAGGTCACATATATTTACTTATCAGTTGAATTTTGTAAAAACAGAGCCAAGTTTTGAGACTAGTTTCCTGTTTTTCACACCTTTCCTGGATTTCCCTAATACTTTCAAGGTGAATAGTGTGCTAAGTCCTCGCTAACAGGAGATTTTCCAGGCGGAAAGCGTGGTATAATCCACTCTCTAGAAGAACTGAAAAAAATTGGCCTAAAAGAGCAGGATAACTAATGGTCACATTTTATAAGAATTTCTCGAATGAAAAAAAAAAAAGGAAACAAATAAAACAAAAGAACACTGTGGATAAAGTCAAATTAAATTAGAAATAAAAGAGTAGAAATAAGCATGATTGGCAAAGAATCCTAGCTGAAGGCTTGACTAATCATATTTCAACCCACTATGACAGATGTCCTAGTATCTTACCATCCTCTTCAAATGCACCTTCACTCATAGCATGGGTTTGAAATGGCTTTCCCCCAGTTTCTCCTCTTCCTTGATGTTTTCTTACCCTTGTACTCTGGCCACCTTATCTGGCTTAGCTTCTTCCTTTTGGATGCCTTCCCACATGCCCTGCAATGTTTTCTGCTATTCTCTGATAATTTCCATTATTTTAAATACCTCTTTGAAATCTTCACAAACCCTAATTGAACCTTATCATTTTCTTGCTTAACTCTGCTCAATAACTGCCTACTACATTCAGAAGAAAGAAGGAAGGAAAGGACGAAAATCCTTACTTTGCTTACAAGGACCTGTGTGATCGGGCTCCTTCCTTCCTTTTCACCTTCATCTGGTGCCATTCTTCCCTCCTTCACACCCTGACAACAACATTTGTCTTCTCTGTAGTGCTTGGATGGAGAACCTGTCCTAGGGCTTTATGTGACCTTCACCCTCTGCCTAGCACTCTTCTTTTGAGCTTGGCTGACTGACACTTTGTGTTTTAGGCCTGAGTTACAGAGTCTCCTCCTCAGAGAGGATTTCTCGACCACTCTAACTCAGGATTTATCAATTGCAGCCTGTTCCCTAAATAAGAGCTATTATATTTTGTATTTATACCTTATTTGCTTATTTGTTTATAATCTTTCTTCCCTATCCAAATTAAGCTCCACAAGGAAAGGATCAAGTCTACTTTATTCATCACCCTGTAATCCAAGTCTGAAATACTGCCAGATCTATGGATACTCAATAGGTATCTGTTGAGTTAATCAATGAGCCTGACCACTTGGTAGCCTTCCTCAAATTTACCTCTATTTAATTCTCAGCCATACTTTGTCCCATCTATGCTCATACTTGGTGTTTATTTATAATGTAATCACTCATTCTTTCCACACATTTTTGAAAGAGATTTTGTGTTTTGTTTTTATGGAGTAAGATTTTAAATTGCCACTTGAACTTACCACACCACTAGCTCTCACAATGGGAGCCTTTAAGTCAGGAAAGACATTCTCCAAGTACCATTTGAAACTTTTGCACCTCAGTTTCTTTCGCAGCTCCCTTTGCTGGGTGAGGTTGCCAACATCTAACCCCTGGTCGATGAGGTGGTCTCCATGGCCGTAGAATAGCTCCTTATACTCATCTAGCCAGACCTCAGCAACCCGCACTAAGTTCCGCTCCACTGTCTTCATCCGGTCTTTGGGGAAGGAATATGGATTGTCATTTCTGAATATATGGCCCACTCGGGAGCAGGGAATGATCTCAATTTCACCACCACACATCCATACCTGGAACAATTTGATGATAAACATCAATTATCAAATGATTATCCACAAATCATGAGCACTTAACAATGACAAGAAACCACCAGGCTGGCAAACTTGTTTCCCCTTTTCTGAAGTAATACTCAACTTCAAAACCACATTTGTAATAGAAAAATCAAACTCAACAGTTTTATTTAATTTTGTGTATTGCTATGGATCATTTTAGGATTAGTAAAATGCAATTTCTTTCCTTTCCTAACCTGCAATGTAAGTTTTTTTTTTTTAAATTTCTAAATAAATTTTCACAGAATCCCATTTTGTAAAATATGAGTTCTTGTTTTGCTTGAATCAGGGAAAGAAGTGTGGATGCCCATTTGTTCATATTCCTCTACTCTCATTTTGGGAAGAACCAAAAAGCTTGTGATACACAACTCAAAATCATTCTTTTTGATCTGCAGCTCCAAAATTAAACTCTTTTACATACAGACCACCCACCCAATAGGAAAGCAATTGCTTTTTGGACACGCTTCACTACTGCTGTTGCCAAGGCTTTCTCAGAAGTTAATCAATGATCGTATAACAGATTGTATAAAGTGTCCAAAGGAGCTGTCCTATGAGGCACACCTGACGTGTTGGTGGCCTGCTTTAGAGTACTTTTATGTCCCTCTGTCATTTGTGTTCTCCAAGATGATCCATTACACACTGAGTCTGTTCCTTCCAACATACTAGACAGATCTTCCAGGAGAGTTATTTTGTATCACGTATGACATCCACAGCATTTACCGAGTGGCAGAAAGTCATTTTCCCCATATTTACAAGCAGAAACGGTGTTGTGAAATATTAAGGAATGCCAATAAATTTCATGACAGCAATTGATTCTTTCAAATTCAATCTGAGATATGAAAGAATTAATCCGGAGACCCTAAAATTTCTGTGAAATTTCCTCTCAGTGGCAGTCACATACCTGATTATAGGAGTAAAATGAAACCATTTAAAATTGATAAACTCATTATTGTAAAGAAAATCTGGGAAACACCTGGTAATACCTTGAATGAGAGCTCCATATTTTCCCCACCCCAAACATCAAGTCCAGGGTCGTATGTTCCAAGTTCAAAAAAGTAACTTTTGTCAATAGAAAATAATCCACCAGCCATGACAGGGCACCTACAAAAAGAAAAGTTTTTTAAACTTGCATCTCGTGAAAGCTGGACTTTTAGATTTGGTCCTCTATACATTTGCATTGGAGGTAGGAAGCTTTTCAGAATAGCTACCTGGTGCAGGGAAGCCCTGGGACGGAGTCACAAATAAGGCTTAAGTGATGCGATCCCTGGGTCATGGTGGCAGAGCTTGATTAGGTTCAGCAAAGATGCATCCTGGAGCTAGTATTCTTATTTGTCCTTTATACTGTGACACAAGCTCCCAGGAATGTTTGTTTGTTAGCGACAGAGCCTCGCTCTGTCCCCGAGGCTAGAGCTCAGTGGCTTGATCTCAGCTCACTGCAACCTCCGTCTCCTGAGTTCAAGCGATCCTGCTGCCTCAGCTGGTATTACAGGCGACTGCCACCATGCCCAGCTATTTTTTTTTTTTTTTTTGTATTTTTAGTAGAGACGGGGTTTCACCGTGTTCGACAGGATGGTCTCGATCGCCTGACCTTGTGATCCGCTCGCCTCGACCTCCCAAAGTGCTGGGATTACAGGCGTGAGCCACCTCGCCCGGCCAGAAATGCTATTTTTAATAACACTTAGGGTTACGGGAGTACCAGGCACTACTGTATTGTATATATACTAGCCCAGACTTCACAAGAAAACTTGTGTGTACGATTATTAAGAATCTGCAACACCGGGTGTGAGGGCGAGCTGGCTGCCACGTCTGCCACCCCAACTGATCGCCAGGGCTGATTCGTCTGATCAGGCCGTGTCCCTTCCTCCGTCACCGCTCCGTGCGCACCCTCCGGAGAGCTGCGCACTGTGGAAGAGGACGACCACTCGCCACAGAGGAGGGCCGGTCTGCGCTCACGGGTTCCCGAGTAGCAGCGCTCCCCTGCTGGAACCTCCAAGCCAGCTCTCAGGAGTCGGCAACACGGAGAAGGAAAGGCACGTTCCCAAGGACAGGCGCCACCTTGGGTTTGCTCTGGGCCGTCTGTGGGGCCGCTGGGCCGTCTCACTCCACGGAACTGCCTCTCAGCCCTTACCCGGAGGAAGGCCGCGAGTGTGAGTTGTTCAGGTTCTTGGTATTTCGAACGAAGAATTGAACAAAATACGCTAACAAAGGAGGGACACCCATGAACGAAGCAGCACAAGCAGGGATTTATGAAAGCGAGAAAGCGCTCCCCAGGGTGGGAGTGGGCCCCAGCAAATGGATCGAGGGCAGCCCGGAGACTAAGTTTTCTGGGTTTTAAGTACTCCTTTCGAGGTCCCTATTGGATGCCCCTTATCTGGATGAAGGATTTGCTTGACTAATCAAAGGGAGAGGGAATTGGCTCCCTGTGCAGTTGAAGGGAAGGTCCCTGCTTGGCCAGCCCTAGGCACTCTCCCTTTCCATCCGAGATGGGGTGGAAGGGGAGGCTGTAGGGAGGGTAGCCTTTGATTCTTTGTTACTCCAGCTGGTGTTAATTGGCCTTAGGTTCCCTGCCCCCAGACCTTGGTATTTTTCTTTGATTCAGCTTTAGGAAGCCAGCAGGAATTGACCTGAAGGTTCTTGCCTCCAGACCCCGTTTTCCTGCCTCACAACCACACACAAACATCACCGACAGCGAGTTATATGGCAAGCACCTTTCAAAGCACTTTATATGATTAAGTTCTTAAAACACTCTAAGTAGCAGCTACTTCTATGAGTCTTCATGTAAAACTGAGGAAACAGAGGCTTAAGATGGTAAGTAACCTTTTCAAGCTCATACCATTTCTCAGTCGTAGAGTTGAGATTCCAACCTAGAGTCTGTCTCCAGAGCCGTCTCTAATATCATTGATCATGAAGGACAGAAACTACATTTTAGTCAGCAGTTAGCCGAGACCGGAATCACTTCCTCTGCCGGTCACCACTCAGCCAGCTGAAGTAGCCTCTGTGGAGAGCCTGCTTTGTGCTTAGGGTCTAATCTCAAGGGTAACTCCCGTCCCACACCTCTCTCCACTCCGCCACCATTTATGTTCATGTTCAGTCTGAACTCCAGTTATCCTTCTAGACTATCCAGAATGCATTTTTTTCCTAACATTATGTTGAATATAGTCTGAACTCAACCACTGTATTGGCCCTCAACAAGAGAGTCTGGAAAAGGCAGAGGTTCTTTAGGTGTAGGTTCAGAATAAGAGTGTGAAATCCAGGTAGTTCTGGGTTTGAGTCTCAAATTCTTTAATTAGATGTGTGTTCCTGGGAAAATTACTTAACTCTTTTCAGTCTCAATTTGCTCATCTCTTTAAGGTGAATACTTCTTACCTGTCTCCTAGAGTTGTGAAGAGAGTTAAGTGCCTGCCACAGAGTACTTAATAAATGGTAGAACCTTCACTTCTTTGCTTGGTGGAATAATTCTGAAGGCATCACACCTGGCAAGGAAGGCGGCGTGACTGATTGATGGGTAAGTTTGGGGAAAGCATGCTGCAAAGCACAGTCTGGGCCTGGCTTGCTTGTGTCTGCTCAAGCCGGGGTCACTCCAACAGGGAATGCCTTATGCCCCCTGCTGCTCTTCCCTCCGCTGGCTGAATGCCTGTTCAGTTGGCTAGACTCCGAAGAAGTAATGGGAAGCCTCCGCTTCAGCTTCAGGTCTAAGTTGTGTTCTTTAATGCAGTTTCTTTGGAATAAAAACCCAGACTTGAATTCATATCCAGCTTATGAGTCGATTTTTAAATTTATTCATAGACTTTGGCACTTTTCTCATGGAGGGGGTAGGATTAGGCTATAAAAGAAAATCCTAACCATTGCTATCGTTAGAATGATATTTCTATTACAATTATTTACTTTTAATTTGCACTTATGCTTACTTTAATATGGCATGTGTTTATATAGTATGTATGCAGCACGTTTTGCTAGTTTGTGTTTCTTAGGTTGCAAATCCTAGGAGACAAGATAGCATTAGTACATTTTTCTGTGTTCAAGCCTGAGTAGGGTACAAATGACCAGTGAAGAATGAGTTTCGGGAACAAATTTCTCTAGAATACTGTGTTTGCTTTGGTAATCTGTTGGCTAGAACTGTGATTCCCGATTTCTATAGCATAATAAGGTGCAGCTGTTTTGTAGAATTGTTTTTTTTTTATGCCTTTACAAAAAGATACATGACTACTTTCTAGCCTTAAATTTCACATACTTACCTTATTACATCAGTTTCTTTAATTCTGTTTTTTGCAATGACATCTGGAGGAATTGTTCTCCAACCAAAGTTCATGGGCCACACAAAGATGCCTCTTTGAAAGTTGTCCACTGTCATATAACTAATCCAGGAAAAAAACCCAAAGTGTTACCTGGGATTTTATATATAGATGTATTTATCTATACACACACACACACACACACACACATCTTTATATACTTTATCAATTTGGCTTCACAATGATGAAAATGAATGAAACGTGCTTATGATGATTTTAGATCACTACTTTTTATTAATAGTTCAAGAAAGTTTACAAGTGCTATTTGTATTAGTGACTAATTGGCTTGATTGTTTTTGCTCAACTTATACTTTTCTTTTAATAATATCCTGGTCAGTTTTGAAGAAAAAAATACGGGAGCAACTTAGATGCACATACATGTTTCCCACAGAAATAAGAGCTAAACTTGAGGTAAATAAATGTTTTGGGGTTCAGCTAATATAAAGGGGAAAAAGTAGATAATGAGTATTAGGATTTATTGGTATTTAGAGTTAAGAATTTGTAGTGACCAAATAGATTATTGCATCAGCAAACTCTAATCCCAAGATATTGATCATGCTTTTTCATTTCATTTATTTCATATTTTTCATTTTTTCATGTATATGTCTTGGATTTTCAAAATCCAAGACATATACAGTTTACTAAATAAATGGAAAATATCAGGCATATACTCATCACTTTCTGCTTCATGTGATTAAAGATGTGCTTAGAAGTATCTTGTAGAATGTGTCAATATTACCTCATATCTTTATCATTGATGACTTCGATTACTGGACAGGCCACTTTATTTCTACTTAAATAAACTCTTTCTAGAAGAGGTTCCAGCCAACCAACATTACATTCCACGTGAGAATCTAAAAATGTCAACACGTCACCTAGAGAGTCAAAAACACACACAAAAAAACCCTTGAAAACACAGTATATTGAATGTGTGTACTTCATGTTCAAAGGTATTGATGATTGCTCCAGAAATGTGGCTGTAAATGCAGTGATCTTTTTTTTTTTCTTGAATTTGTGGTCACTGTAATTTCATTTCATAATGAAATGAGAGTAACTTTGCTCCTAGGAGTCCTGTGGTGCAAACATAATTCATGTTTGGAAAATACTGATAAACTGCTTAGAATCGGTAACAAGAATCTGAAAAGAATACTTGGTATTAAAGATAGTTGCTGAAGTCCCCTCTAAGAGAGTGTGCCCATTAACGCTGGGGGTACAGGATTTGGGACTTTTTTTTTTGTTTTATTTTTTGGGAAAAAGGGGAGAAAAGAAGGAGGGGAGGAAGGAAGAAAAAGAATGAAAGAAAGAGGAAGAGAAAGAGGGAGAGAGAACGGGAGTCTTGCTTTATTGCCCAGGCTAGAATGCAGTCTAAAAATGGTATTGAAAACCTCTTTTATGCCAATAATTTTGGTTAACAATGGAGACAGGAAGGAATATGGGAGGAAAATAACAAACAGGCAGCCAACCAATATTTCATTTAAACCTGTGATATGCTGTGCAATTTCTGAGGAGTGATTTACTTCCAATTAGGTAGTCACTTTTAGAGTAGGTGTGATGTGGTACTGAGAAGAATGTATGTTTTGTGGATTTGGGGTGCAGAGTTCTGTAAATGTTTATTAAGTTTAGTTGTTCTGGGTCTGAGTTCAAGTCCTAGATTTCCTTGTTAACTTTCTGTCTCATTAATCTGTCTAATATTGACAATGTGATGTTAAAGTCTCCCACTATTGTTGTGTGGGAGTCTAAGTCTCTTTATAAGTCATTAAGAACTTGCCTTGTGTATCTGGGTGCTCCTGTATTGGGTGCATATATATTTAGGATCGTTAGCTCTTCTTGTTGCATTGATCCTTTTACCATTATGTAATGTCCTTCTTTGCCTCTTTTGATCTTTGTTGCTTAAAGTCTATTTTATCAGAGGCGAGAATTGCAACTCCTGCTTTTTATTTATTTATTTTTTGCTCTCCATTTGGTTGGTGAATCTTCCTCCATCCCTTTGTTTTGAGTCTTTGTGTATCCTTGCATGTGAGATGGGTCTCAATGCAGCTTACTGATGGGTTTTGGCTTTTTATCCAATTTGCCTGTCTGTGTCTTTTGATCGGGGCATTTAGTCGATTTAAATTTAGGATTAATAATATTATATGTGAGTTTAATACAGCCATTTGATGCTAGCTGGCTATTTTGCCCATTAGTTGATGTAGATTCTTCATTAGGTTGATGCTGTTTACCTTTTGGTATATTTTTGGAATGGCTGATACTGGTTGCTCCTTTCTATGTGTAGTGCTTCTTTCAGAAGCTCTTGTAAAGCAGGCCTGGTGGTGATGAAATCTCTGAGTACTTGTTCACTAAAGACTTTGTTTTTAAGAAGTAGAGAGACTGAGATGACGAGTTTGGCCTTAGGAATGATTAAGAGGAAAAATTACTTCACACAATAGGGATGAAAGAAATTAAAGTGGACAAAACGGCAAGGCTAGGAGGTACCGTGAAAAGAGTTACAGGAGACGGGAGTGGGGAATGGGAGGTTGCTGATGAATCAGTACAGAATTTGAGTTTGCAAGGTAAAAAGAGTTGTGGAGACTGCACACCAGTGTGAATGTATGTAATACTATGGACCTATACATTTAAAAATGGTTAAAATGGTACATTTTTATATTCTATGTTTTTACACAATTTAATAAAAAGACTTAGAGGAGGGAAAAAAAGGAAAAGAAACTTGGAAGCCAGAAGTAGTATTAAGAACGCTTTTATTTTTCCTGTTAGTTGTGTGAAGTAACACTCTCTCCCTCTCCACTGAAACCTCAGTAGCATCTACATTGCTCCAGAGGATCTCATAGAAGTGAAGTGTGTGTGTGTGTGTGTGTGTGTGTGTGTGTGTGTGTATGATGATGTATGTGTGTGAGAGAGTAACAACCCAGGGAATAAGCTCCTGGTCCAGATCCCATGTGTGATCTTTCAGACCCAGTCACAGGTAATACAAAGGCTCTACCTAGCGGGCCTCATGGAGGAAACCTGCCTTCTCACTCTGGTGTCCAGCCAGTGTGTTGAAGTCTCTGAAGGGAGTTGCGGGCCAGGACTCATACCCTCTCCTTGGCTGCAGTACTTGCTCTTCTGCCTGTCTGCATTTCTAACCCAGGTGTCTCTGTTTAGGCCAAAACCTCTGCCAGGACCACCTAATTGGAGGTGGAATGGGCCTTGAAGACACTTTGTTCCACTCTGACTCAGTATTCAGTGTTTTCCTACTCCTAGCCTTTCCCTTTCTTACTCTGGATCCCAGGGCCCTGCAACAGAAGGAGCCTTTTGTGCTGGGATCCTCGGGCAGCTAGTGAGATGCTCCTCTTCTCTGCTCTGCTCTGATCCACCATTCAGCAACATTCCAGGGGGAAAAATAGAAAATTGAAGGAGCCGGTGCCTTCTCCTCTTCAGCCTTCTGCTGATACTGTTGCAGTAAGGGATTAAGGCTTGACTATTGCTTTCATTTTGGTTTATCATTTTAATTGACTACTTTGATACCTGGATACTCAGCTCAGCTCTTGACACACCTGTAAGAGCACCATCATCTATTAAGTGCTCGTTCTATGCCAGCCTCTGTTCTAAACATTCTTCATGGATGTTTTATGTAGTTCTAACAACAACCCTGCCGTCTAGAACTAGTTTTTATTCCCACGTAAGAGACAAGGAAACTAAAGAACCTACATAACTTCTCTATGATTGCACAGTTAATAAACGACAATGTGATTTTAGAAAATAGGTAGCTCATTCCATGGATTACATTCCTTAAAAAATACCAGAAAGAGGCACAGCTTTGAGAACGGGAAGGCTTAGAGAACGAAATGGGGATAGGTATCTGGATGATAGATCATTATCACTGAAATCTGCAAACTGAGTCTCAATTAATGGCATTTAGCATCACATTAATTGCTTAGTTGACAATGGCAATTTTGCATGAGGGTAAGGTATTGGTGTGGAGTGTTCTTGAGGAGTCTCTTTAGTGAAACCATCTGTGCAAGGCAAAAGCGCCCCACTCCCATGTAGTCTTCTGTTGTTGGAGACAGTAGTTTCATCTCCTGACCAGGCAGGAGGGGTCCTATTCTCAGGGCATTAAAGCTTATTTGACAATGATAGGGTATTGTTCCCTGCATGGTCTGAATGCATTGTTGATTCAAAATTCATATTTCGAAACCTAACCCTAAGGTGATGGTATTAGGAGGTGGAGGCTTTGTGATAAAATCATGAGGGTGGAGCCTTCTTAAATAGGATTAGTGCCCATATGAAAGAGGCTGGAGGGCATTTGTGAGCCCCCTTTGCCCTTCCATCATGTAAGGTCACAGCAACAAGGTGCTGCCTTTGAGCAGTGAGTTGTCACTAGACACCAAATCTGCTAGTGCCTTAATCTTGGAATTCCCAGCCTCCAAAACTGTAAGCAACAAATATATGCTATTTATAAATGATCTAGTCTAAGGTATTTTGTTACAGCAGCTCAAAAGGACTAAGCCATCTCCTTAGGGTGTCCTTTGGGGATGGCACCTTTGGGACAACCCTCTCCCTTGTCATGGGAAGACTTACAGGGTGATCTAGGTGTATGAAGCGTGGACTGCTGAAGTCCACTTGGCTTGTGGTATAGAATGCATTAAAAAAAGATTCCTACTTGTGATCCATTCGGACCTAGAGTTTAAAAAGCAGTCTTTACTACACCATCTGTCCCTATCCCCATAGCAGCCTTATGAAGTCAAAGGGGCCTGGATTATCTTTCTCAGTCCCCAGTGGCAGCAGGATGGGTCCCCAAACCTGCATTCACTTCCCACCTGGCCCAGATCACTATGAAAATTCTCATTCATTTGCTGCCAGGACCTAAGGGAAGCAGCATCTGCTCAAAACATAGTCTGGGATTTTACATTGTTTTATTTTGGGGAAGAGGAGAATCCTCCTATGCATGCTTGCTTTTGCTCTACTTTCAGACATTTTGTTTTAAAATAAAATCTTAGGCCTATGTTGGGTGAGAAATCAGGGAGCTCTCTGTGTAGCCGACTCTTGGTGGGATTTCTGATTGTGGTGGTTATTGTCTGTGGACATTGTACACACTGTTCCTGAGCCTGTGAGGCTGAGAGGCATAGTGAAATGAACATAGCCTTGAAGTTCATATATCTGCCTTCTATCCAAGCTCTGCTTTTCCTAGCCAGGTTAGATAAGTTATTTAACCTTTTAGAGCTTTGCCCTACGAAGATATTTTGAAGATCTACCTGATACCTAAGTTCTTTAAAAATGGCCAGTACCATTTACTGTCAGAATAATCAATCCAATCATTTAAAAATTTTTAATTGGCACATAGTAATTGTATATATTTATGGGGTACAGAATGATATTTGATACATAAAATGTGTAGTGATCAAATTAGGATAATTAGCATATTAACCACCTCAAACATTTATCATTTATCTGTGTTGGGAACATTCAAACTCCTCTCTGATAGTTACTTGAAAATATATAATAAATTATTGTTAACTATAATGGCCCTAAAGTGCTGTAGAGCACTAGATTTAGAAAGGGTAGGGGAGAGGGGGTATAGGGAGAGGTTGGTTAGAGAATATGAAATAGGATTTTCTGTTTTCTAAGCATAGGCCCCATTAATACTGGATGACTTTCATTTGTAACTTAAACATTTTGGGGATGGGGCTAACCTAAAGCTGTTCAATGTGCCAAACAATTTTGGGTCCTTGTTGAGCATGGACCCCCACTTATATCCAGTGTACCAGCCTGGAATATTGCTGCAGTACCAGTTAATGCTGGATCGTTATGTCTAGGATTCCTTGAGGGATGTGGGCTTGGGTTGCTATTTAATTCTACATAATGCCTCCTAAGTAATGCTAAGAAAATAATGTTTGCCTACAGCAGATACAAGTTATAAAGGTTTGCAGAAAGATGTCCACTGTTGCTTTTAGGAGGCCTTGGAGTTTGCTAGAAGTTAGATGTCACTTGTCCAGTTACTTAAAATTAGCCAAGAGATTATTTAGAATGCTCACAGAAATGTCAGGAATTTTGCTACATGCCATGTCATGAGGGAAATGAAAATCCAGTCTTTACTTTGACTCTCACTAGTGAAACTGTCTAATGGTAATTCCTCTGGGCAGGGCAGTAAATCACTTGGTCTGTTCCATACTAGGAAGGGCTGCAGATAATCTCCTTGCTCCCCGATGTCTCACTTACTCGATCTTTTTAATTCTGTTGGCTTGATATTGTGAGCAATTCTTAGAGATCCATTGCCCCTGGCCTACCTGTCAAATTTTGAAATCCTGCTTGGGCCTCTCAACCTCCTCATTCACAGCAAGCAACTGATTGGACCTAATCTTTTTGCCTGAATTAGATTCGGTTGAAGAACTAACATGCCCCGGAAACTGAATGCATAGTAAACATTGCTAACAGTAAGGTAGGTAACTTCTTGGCCCCTTGTTATTTTGTAGATGATTGCGGACTTTCAGAGAACCTCTTGCAGACTTTCAGAGAGCCTCATAATACCCTGGGACCAAAACAGGCCATCTGACTTCTATTTCTGCATGTCTTTGGATCTCTGTATCTCATCTTTGCCTGTTACTTCCCTTTTCTATGGGTCCTAAAGGGTGAATCTTTAGGGAACAGTATCTGTCAAGGCCTGTCAGATTCTGGACTCAGATTCTTATCTTTAAACTCTTTGTTTGGCTGAGGCGTCCTAAAGAAAATGTTTGTCTACTGTCTTTGCTGACCTCTAATTTACAGGGACTCTTCAGAAGGCCCTTAGTCTCTGACCTATCTCTACTCTTGAGAGCTGTGGAACACCCAGGGTAGTTTGAGAGGACCCACCACACCTGCCATTTCTTCTCAATGCCAGTCTCTGAATTACATTCTCTGCTAAAGCTGATCCTGCATTCTCTTGAATTTCCCACAGGGGGCAGGTGTACTTTTCGGCATTCGATATGTCCTTAGGCAAGGCTGTCCTAACACCATCCCGTCGAGACACACCTTTCTCTTCTTTCCAAATTCTCAGGCACCCAGACTCCACTAACGCTGCTCAAAGTGTAGGCCACAGACCCTGCTGTCTACAGAGAGATAACAATAGAAATTGAGAACATATATTTTGAAACTTTATAGCAATTTGCAAAATTTATTAATTTATTATTTGTTTACTGTCTTTATATACATGTAGGTACATATGCACATATATTTTATATATAATAAAAATGGGTTTGTGTTTTATATATTTACTTTCCTTTTTAGGTAATTAATATTTATTATAATTTACAAAGGGGTAGGCCAATAAAAAAGAAAAAAAAGTCATTTTCAGATAGTTTGGAAAGCATCTCTCTACTAGGTAGTGGCAAGCAATTAAAATACACCTAGCCTGGGCTTTCCAAACTGCAAGTTGTAGACCCCCTTAGTGAATCAATCACTAAATCAATTTATTGGGATTGGCCAGGATTTAAAAAATAAATAACATAGAAAAGAAGATATTAGAATCTATTGCACATGTTATTTGATATAATGTGATTACACATGTACTGAGTTGTGATGAAAAATTTATTTCTACACAAGCCATTGTCAAAATGGTTTGAAAGTTATTGCACCAAAACTGAGCTAATATTCTCAAGGGTATTAACGAATCTAAATTTATATTCAGATTTGCTAAATTCAAAGAAATTACTTTATGGATGTAACTGCAGGTACTTGAGCAAACAGTTGCAACTGCATTAATCAAGCGCGTAACACCCCTTCTAAGACACTCCATCTATGTCGTCTAATAGTTTGGACTATGCTGGAGGCCACTACTAGAATACTTCGTGCTCCATGCAGGCAGAGAGAATTTTTTAAAAATAAGTAGCCCATATTTGGTCCTGTATTCTACTTTTTGCATATGGATGTCTGATCTTCATCTCAAATTTATACAGACAAAATCAAAACTTAACTGCAATTCCAAACGTGCTCCTCTGGTTTTGAGCCTACCACCCACCAAGTTATTTTTCAGATTCCAGTCCTAGGGTTTGTTTCTGATTGTTCTCATTCTTATTCTCTTCACATCTTATCTGATGGCAAGTCTGTAGATCCCATGTCCACAATCTATGACGAATCTGATCATTTCTCCCATTTACCCTGACACCTCCCTGGTACTTGGACAACTATAGTAGCATTCTAACTGGCCTCCTCACTTCCTTTTTGATCTTCCTAATATCCATTCTCTACATAATGGCCAGAATAAGCTTTCAAAATATTCATCAGACAACTTTGCTCCCACTTAATATTCTTCATTGGTTTCACCTGATACTGAGAATAATGCCTATAATCTTTAAGTGATGCACAAAACTTTAGAAAGTCTTGTTTTTTTTTTCCTTGTTCCCCAAATGAATCTTATATGACTTTCCCCCATGGTCAGCACCCATGAGTCAAAATGAACTTACTTCTTTACAGTGAATATGCCAAGCTCATTTCTGCATTAGGACATTTGTACTTCTTTTTCCACTTACTTGGGAATATTCTTCATCCAGACCTCAGCTCAAAAATTACCTACTCAGACTATTTCTTGAGTATCCTATTTTTATATCATTTATAGATAATTACTCTCCAAAGGAAATTAAGCATGGAATGCCATTAAATTTTTCTGAATGTAGTCTCTCATCAAGAATCTTAGTTGTCACTGCAATGCCAATTTTGGTGTGATGTATTTGTTGCTCACTAAAAATTTCCTCTTTGAAGAGAAGACATTTGCTAGCAAGACAATGGAACCAGAAGAGCTTCCAATATGGGGTCCAGTTACAAGAAAATTAAACACAGGTAATCAGATAATTTCCCATCAGAACATGCTTGAATTTAAGCTGGTAGAGACGTGCAAAACTAGGGCTTACAGGGCTGCAGTAGTGGCTTAGTGTCTAGAGGTCTCAAGGTGTAGTAGGTAAGAGGACAGACTCTGGAGTCAGGGCTTTCAGGTGCCAATTTTGGATTTACCGCTGACTAGATGGGGGAGCTTGCGTAAGGCACAGCCTGACTGTGCCTCTATATTCTCATATGTAGAATGAGGATGTGATTGTACCCATCTCATAGAGTTATCGTGTGGATTCAATCAGTTAATATACAAAGTATTCAGAATGGCACCTGGTATTAGTCAGCTAATATTACAGGGCACAGATCCTACCATAGAAAAGTATAAACATGAACCCAAATGTTTGATGTTGTTTTTAGAATACTCATAGAATAGATTCACTTCTCATTCACACACCAACATCTGCACACTAAAAAGAGGAGAGGAAAATAAAGGCCTTTGGGGAAGGCAGAAAGAGCTATAGGCAGAACAGACATGGGTCAGAGAAAAGAGGGGTGACGATTATAGAATTAAAAGATTATGAAGTCTTCAAATACTGATGGTTCAGGTCAAAAAGGGCACAGTCTTGAAGAAGCTCCTAGTGGTCAAATTTGGGACAATTTGAGCACCAAAAAGAATAATGGTGATATAGTACACATTTAATTTGAAACCAAAAGTCCACAATGGTGAGGGGATGAGAGGGGAGGGGAGAGGGAAACTGAGGGGGAAGGGAGGGAGAGTTAGAAAACATGAGAGGGAGAGGCAGAGATTTTTTCCTTACACATGAATGCCAGCTAAATAAAAAAGAAGGGATTATAGAAAAGCAATTTTGCAGCCCTCAGTGTAATAACTGATTTTTGCAAGGATCATCAATGGATACTAGAAACCATTGGTTAAAACATTGTAAGATAAACGGAATATTCTCATGCCTCTATGTATCATTCCACAGATTACTTCTTACTCCCAAAATAAAGATCTAGCTCTCAACATCTTAACTAAGTTCTCAAAGTTAGTATCAACAATAATGATGATATTATGTTATATTCATTTTTATCACCTACGTAGTAAAACTCTATGTAATATTTTCACTCCAAAAACATTTATCCTGTAGGTAACAAGAAGAAATCAAAAATTTCAGAATGTGGTCAACTGTACCAAACAAATGGCATGAACTTAAAAGTTACACACACACACACACACACGCACACACACACACACAACACAACAGTATTTAAACAAAGTGTGAGGAGTTGAATATTCTAGACTAAGAAGATCAAACTATCAAATGCAGGGTATAAAACTTAATTAGTTCCCAAATTAAAAAAAAAAAGTATGAAAGTATGAAAGCCGTGCTTATTTAAGAGAATGCTCCTGTTCTTCAGAGATGCCTCCTGAAGTACTTAGGGGTACAGTGCGATGATGTCTGTAATTTCCATTTTAAAGGTTCAGGAAAAATGTATGTACAGTAGGTGTCTATGTATGTGTATGATAAAGCACGTATTACAAAAACTGTTTAAAATTGATGGAACTACATGATGCATATATAGGTATCACTGTGCTGGTCTTTCATATTTGCTGTATGCTTGAAAAACACTTTAAATCAAAACAAAAATGTGACCAAAGAAAAAAATAAGTAGCGTCTTACCTGTTGCATTCTGTGCTCCTGCCAGCCTGGCCCTTATTAAACCATGTCTCTCTTTGAGGCGAAGAATCCGAACTTTTGGAAACTGAGACATGTATTTATCCAAATTATCTTTTAGGTAGTCTACATCAGAGTAAAGGTAAACCAGTAAATACTTGAATTAACTAGGTCTGAATAGTATCAGAAGTGCCTCCCCGAAGTCAAATGTTGAAAACTATGACATTACTGTCATCACTAAAATTTATTCCTTGGGTCATAATTTTATTTTCTGATGTCATTTTCTTGGAAGGATTCTGTCTCGGTTCAATATTCTAAGCTGTCTGATTTTTCAAACCCCAAATCTTGTTTTCAGTGTTGCAGGGTGATACAGTGGAGGGCTCACCTTTTCTGAGTATTTGTCAAGGCAGGGGCAGATTTGCCTTAAAACAAATATAGCTCAGGCTTTTGCACAACTCTGCCTCCACTCTCAGCACCACCTCTTGCAAAAGCTCCTTCCACGACCCAAGAAAGAGGCTAAACAATGTGTGCAAATAAGATGCTTTCATTTCTCTTTCTTTTCTTTTCTTTTTTTTTTTTTTTTTTTTTTTTTTTTTTTTGCCATTGCTGTTAACTTTTTTTTTTTTGAGGCG